CTCCCCTTAGTGGATTATGCCACTTCCTGGTTCATCTCTTCCCAGGTGGCTTAAAAATCACAGGACTGGAAGACTAATTCTAAGAATTCTAATTTTGACTAAAGTATGTCATATGACAGTGGACACTGAATAAAATACAGCTGATTCTCCGTAGGTACAGTAGTTATGTTCTATAAAGTGAACACCGAATTACTGAACACTGAACCAGTGCTCCTAGGGGAAATAGAGGGTCAGGTTCCTGTGAGCCTCTGGTCACATTTTCATCAACCAATCAATATGTAATCTTGTTTTATACATTTCTGTTTAACACCTTAATATATATTGTTGACTCATTAACATTTAAACAATGGCCATGGCCAACAGCACAATAACCTCTGTCTGAATGAAGCCTGTGTAACACAAATATTTTCTCTGTAGGGCACATCACAGACTTTCTGGACAGCATTTCAACACTACACTCAGGGGCCATTTAAAATCAGCAACAAAGCATAAAAATATGAAAAACATGGCACTAATGGACCATGAAAAGGACGCTTGTTTATACTAAGAGAGCTGAAACAAGGCACCTTGTTTGACCTCAGCCTGGAATGTGTGGTGACATTTTTTATTGCTGTGCGTATGTCTGCAAATGACCGCAAAAGTGCCAAGAGTATTGATTTGGGATTACAAATATTCTAGTGAGTAGGCAAATTCCCAAATACAGAATCCATGGTTAATGAGGCCCAAAGCCTCTATCAGGTGTACAGATTGCCTCTAGACAAGTCCTTACAAAACCGAAATCCCTAACATCCAGGAACAGATTTGAAGCCTTAAGCATGTATGTGCTGTTTATAAGTCTCAAACTGGGATAATCCTAAAGAGCTTACTTCACCATTCTCTGTATCTCCTACTATCAGGTACCAACTCAAGATCCTGTATTGAGTGTTCAATGCATTATCAGGTCAGCTGATAATGTTCAGGTTTTTCCCACTTACTCATTCACTTAACAAATATCTGTACATCCACTACATGCCAGGAACTGTAGAGACCATAGGACAAAAAGACAAACAATATTCACACGGTCCCTGCCTTGTGGAGCTTGAAACTCAGCAGTTTCACTTACTGAAATCAATGAGCATCTTGCCATAGCCCTGTCTCATGTACTGAGGCATGGTAAGGATGCAGGACACATTGTAGTTGAGGAATGAATTCTTTTCCTAAAATCAAGAGCAAATAGATAAGCAGGTCATGAGGGTTTGGAACCAAAGGTGTCAGCAGTCACAGAGAGATACATAAGGCTGCTTGTAAAATATCTGGCTAACCAGTCCTGGGGAGTGGCTATCAGGCTCACAGCTGTTACGTCCACACCCTTTATGATGGCCAAAGCCATTAATCCCAAGATTTAACCTAGCTCTGAGGTCTCCAGTCTCATTTTAAGGGGGCTGCCTCTAGGTACTTTTACAGTCACAGAGCAGGGCAAGAAGGTTTAGACTGCTGAGTCAGTCTAGAGCAGTTCTTTAAATGCAATTTTTCAAAAGGGGGCTGCCTACTGGAGAAGGGAGGGATCCCAAACAGTTAAGGCCCCATTCTAGAAGGGGAGGGGGGGTCAAAAAAGTCAAATCACATACTGTATGATTCTATTTATGTGAATAGCCCAGAACAGGCGAATTCATAGAAAAAGAAGGGCTGGGAGGAATTGAGTCAAAATGCGAAGTGTTGCTTATGGGTACGGGGTTTCTTATCGGGGTAACAAAAATTGACCGTGGTGATTGCACAATGGTTGCACAATTCTGTGACTATACTAAAAACTACTGAATTGTACAGTTTAAATCAGTGAACTGTATATTATGTGAATTATATTTTAATAAAGCTGCTATATTAAAACGTCATAAGCAAAATCTGGCCTGAGTCTTTAAAGGGACAGTGGCGTTATGACTGAAGGAACACAGCCAGAAAACCAGGCAAAAGGAATATATTCCTGGTTTTGAGTTAATAACACAGAGGAGGGCAAGGCCAGGAGAGTTGGCTTGACTACAAGATGTGAGCTTGTGGGTTAGTAGGCAGGGCCCTGGCCAGTAATTAATAAGCAGCGCCAACCCACAAGTTCAGAAATGAATAAACTAGAAGCTTTTAATAAAGAACTGCACATTTTCATTAAATAATCTTTGATACATGGATTTGCCCTTTTTTCTTTTTTTTTAAAGGGAAGGGCTGTCATCATTGCCCAGGGTACTGCCTCTTCCTGTCAGTGATTTGAGTCCCCTTGTGCCAACATCAATCACCCTGCTCTGGCCATTAAGTGCTTGATCTCCAGACCCTGCTGACCTTTGAAAAATATCCAATCAGGTGACAGCCAGTGTTGTCCGCTTCTGTCATAACATAGAACAGGAAGGGTTCCACATCATAATATAATGTCTTGTGGTCCAGAAAAAGCTTGGCCAATAGGCATAGATTTTGGCAGTAGATCTGGAAGCAGGAAAACAGAGTTCGTGTGTAGGCAAGAGATTCCTAAACTTATCAAAGGCCTAAAATTAAAGATCATACCATTACTGTTAAGAAAGCAGAAATTGTGTATTTTGGCCAATAGAAGATCTTTACAATCTTCTTTACAAGGTGAAATGGAGACAAAACAAACTCCTTCGGAAACCTGTGAATATACAACACTACCACCCTTCTTTCTTCCGTCACCACTTTTTACCTTGTTTTTCTTGCCATCCACTTCAAACACGGAGATTGAGCCTTTGCGATATATCTCATCCCCGGGTGGGTGTTTCCACACACACTTAGCCTGCAAGAGAACGGAATCCACATCAGGGAAACACACCTTCCCAACAAGACTGCTGCTCAAAAGGGAGAAGGAATCACAGGTCAAATTTAACTAGCTGAGATGACGGACAGTTGGACACACTTGAGAACATACAGCAAAACAGATTTTCTTCCCCCAGCAAAACAATTAAAGGCTTCTAAAGTCACTGTAATATAGTTATGGTATTTTTATAGCAGTTTGGAACAAGTTTTCTGGATTATATTCTGGCACCGTCTCAAACCAGGAGATTAAAATCATCTCTACGTAAATGCCAGATAAATAAAAAATTCCCTTGCTTATTATAAAATGCCTTGGGCCAACAGGAAATTCTTAAGCAGCTTACTTTGAGCAGCTTAGAGTTGCTAAGTAAAGGCAGGAGTACTTCACGCTCACCTTTACCAGTGACTTCTCGTCACCACCTAACCATTATGGTCCTCTTTTTTTCAGATTAGAAAATAGATCCACACTGATAAAAACCATCCCCACCCCCTGCACGAAGCGTTCCCTTTGTTATATAAGGGAACGGGAAGTAGTCCTTCCGTGGCTAAAAAAAAAAAAACCACGGGGCAGCCTGGTGGGGCACTTGGCCACAAGGGGGCACAAGATACCCATTTCCTCACCCTCTATTGCTAGTAAGATTCAGGGCAGCTGGTCAGGCATTTCTATAAATAGGTGAATTCTTGAAAGGTTTTAAGTAAATACATTTACAAGTATCATTTAAAAAACATACGTATGTATATAGAGCATTTACTATTAAATTTTATTGTGACTTTTGATGAAGAATCATGCCCCAATTTGTTACATGTAAATACAAATATTTATTAACTGGAATTGCTTCAAGAAAGCTCCACCTCTAGTTTGTTCCTAACTCCAGCCTTTTCTTCATGCTAGCTCTTTCCAAAATTAAAAACTAATGCAACAATTATTTATTTAGAAACAGAAGCCAAACTGTTGGCCAGACAGCCAAAGAAAGCCCATTTCAGTGATTATGCCTGTAGCAACGGGAATCAGAAGAGGTATGGATTAAAACAGGTTTTTATTTACTGAAACTCAATTTTTATAACTCATATAACAATAAATCCTCAAATATTCAGAATATTTACTTGATTCTCAGATTTATCTAGACCCTTTGTTTCCCCCCCCACTACTATTTCTTACCCTTTCTGGCTATTTCATCAGTTAGTGCCACTAAATAATCAGAAACAAAAAGGAAGAAAAAGGGCATAAATGGTAAGCAGTTCACATCAATAAAAACAACAGTCTCACGTTCACAGAGCAAACTGTATTTTAGTTTATCTCCATGGTCTACAATCACGGAGACAGCCTTGACACCATCATCCCCTACACTCTAGTGTCCTCACCAGTCCCCAGCCATCACCTCCCCTCCAGCACTCGTTCCCCACCCCAAGTAAAGTGTGCTGGAGTCTGGCGTGCTTAATTCACAGCGGTGGTTCTGGGCCACAAGACTATAGACTGTGCGCTCTAGAGCTGGGAACACAAAAAAGCAGCATGGCCACGCTGGGGAGAAAAGCCTCACGACAAAAAGCACAGGAAGCCTGGGTTGTAGATGCTCAGCATATGGAAATCCTGGGAAATGAAGCTAGAACGGGAAGGAAGAAGAGACACCCTAAAAGGCCTGAGTCAATTTATGTTGTGACTATAGAAACAAGAAAAAAGAAAGGTTTCCCTGTCTGACAGACTAATCTCTACCCCTTACCCTTTCCCATCCCACTCTCTGACAGAAATTCCCTTTAAGACAAGACTCATCATTCCACAACTAGGGAAAGAAAAATGGCTTAAAGCTGCAAAATACCTAGTAAGCCTATTTGTCAATAATAAAATCAGATGCAAGTCTCTATTTCTATTTTAATAGGAAGAACGCTCAGAAACCAGAAAGCACTAAACGAGGGAAAGGAAGCAAAATTTCATAATTTGTCTCCCTTAAATAAGTGTTCATTCAACACACATTTATTGCACATTTATTATTGCCCACGCTAGTTGCTAGGGATACAGAGGTGAGTCCCGTTGTCCCTGCCTGTCTAATGAAGTTTATTTATTTTCATCTAGTTTGGGACACAGAAAAACTATGGGCAGAGGTAATTCATATCCCAAGGAAGAAATGGAGAAGAGCAGGCAGCAAGAAAAAAGACAGGGAGATGTGTATGACAGGACGTCGTTAAGGTGAGCATCAGCCATGCCATAGGCTGTATACTCCCCTGCTCAAATGTGGCTTTCAATTTCCTACGCCTTCTTCCCATTACTGTGGACCACTGAGAGATGCTTGGACTGATGTCATCTAGACAGACATCAAAAGCTAGAGATCCTATAGCTTATCGCTATCATGGTCATGGAACCCCAGACAACT